CGGTCGGTGCCAACAAAAGTGTGACTACATGGGGGTGGTGACTATATAAGAGGTGCTTATAAAGGGGTACGACTGTACATCCCTTCTTTTTGATGGAGGGCTAACTTCGCCCACAAATAAGGTGGCACAAGTGTGTAATTGACAAATTATGGAAGTTGTGAAATCTGGCTGTTTAGCGCGCGACCTTCGGCTTTTCTTGTCTTGCTTTCGTTTAAAGCTGTATTGGGCCATTGCACTACGTGTTTATCGGGATCACCAAAGAGTCCTTTCATAATGCGATCAAGGAAATTGGTATAGTGTGATTTCGCTGTGCTCATTCCTAATTTTTGAAAAGAGTAGCATTCTCAAGCAGTCCAGAATAATAAAACCTAAATTCTCTTTTAAAGATTGCTCACTTAAAAGTTTTCCGCATAATAATAACCAGATAATAACATCATCACGCGATCCACCCATTGCCATTTTAACTGCTTTTCAGAATGTTGTTTCGGAATTCGAATCTAATACTATTTGTTGCTCTGATTTAAATTTTTGATGAATTTCATCAAGCAAGGACAATCTGAAGTTATTCAATCATTGTATTGGAGTAGGAATTCGAGGCAAGTAATAAAATTGATGATAACGATAATATTTCTTGTACATTTGATTTCACAAATAAGCCCTTGTCCCTTGCAATATTTAGTGACTGATTCTGATAATTTCTAAAAAGTAGAGATACATTAGTCTCTCCCACATGTAAATCATCAACTGGATCTCCATTTTGAAAGAAAATTCACATGGAATGTCATCAATTATGATATCTTTCTTCTTCTTCTCCTCCTCCTCCTCCTTCTCTCAACGAATGGATTTTCTACTTCCAATGGATGTATCATTGGGCTACCTGGGCAGGGAGTGGTATATCCATCCAACCCTTACCATGATCAAGCATTTATCCGACTATGCATGGGAAACAGCAAGAATTTAAATTAAGATTAGCCTTAGGATGTGTGAGTAAAGGCTAAAAAGAAACAATTTTCATTACCTGTATTTTATGAACTTCTGCAGAAACCTTGATCTCTTGCAAGTTTATTTTCCTCTCCAAATCCAAAAATCATCAATACACCCACCAGCTTTTACACCTTCCTACAAAAAATTAACAGTAATAAAAACAAGGCTAGCTCATGATAGTTAACTAACTTTTGCAAGTTCATGGAAAGATTTCAGCGGAACGTATTCCATCGCCACTCGGATACGTATTCCAGTGGGTAGCTTCAATCACAGTTGAGACAGGGCGGAACGTATTCCATACACGGGCGGAACGTATTCCCTCGTGATTCCTGCCACAACCACCACGTACTCATCCTAAACCCTCACTCTAATGCTACATAATACTTGAGCTTTCTTCAAAATGTAATAACTAAACCAGCACTAGCCCTCCAACGCAAAAAAGTAACACACTTTAAATTGCTTAAACATTCTGTTAGCTTCCTTCTTTTCTTCTTCTGATCCTTCCTTCATAACCATTCTAGCTGTCGCGTGATTGCTACCGTGATCGTTGCCTTGTTAATGAGATGTTTGGACGCACACCATTTCTCATGATATTCTAGTGCATCCCATTCTTTACATGGCGTGCTAATAAAGTATGAAAACCCCGGTTTGTCAGTAATATCAATTTCCTTTGACATTTGTGTAATGTGCAAAACGAAAATATTTGTTCCGAGGTCGATATTTCAGTCTGGGATATTTCAAAATTTGATTGTCTCACGCGTATTTAATGATACACTTTGTGGCTAGCATTACGACCAATCATAGCCGTCGAAATTGATCGACGTGTCGCATTACGCAAAAACCAGCAAAGCATCTGAAGTATGCTGTACATACTCCTTACGTAGTTAGTTTTATACATTTCTTATTCAAATAGACATAAATTTAGACAAACTTTGCAAACTTATTGTAATTATTTGTTAGTACATGTATGAAAAGACAGCCCGAAGGGCGCCACTATGTGGCATACCTATAAACAAGATCTGATATTTATATTTTCCATTCAAAGATATTGAACGTGCAAAGAGGGGCTTATCCGCACGGTATAAAAAATGACACTTCTACATTTAAGAATTCATCATGATTTTCCAATGTAAATATATCAGGCCCTTAGGGCGCTCGTTGAGGCATAATCATTATTGACAAGTGATCAGGCGTTACGAAACGCACATGTTATTTTTGAACTCGATAATTTAAATAAATCTGCACTTTATATGAAAGTTGTTAACAAAACATGTCATCAGAGCTTGAACCTCAATCTGCTCAATCAAAAATCGATTCGTTGCAAGAATTAAATTCGAAGCTCTTGGCTGAGATTCTGAGCTTAGAAAGGAAAATGCTGAGGTTAAAGCCGAGAATACAAAATTGAAACAAGCTATAGAAGCAAATGCTGAGCTCAAGACCACAGATTCGAGGAGCTAGAAAAGAAAAATAAAACAGACACCAGTAATCTCATTGCTGAAAATGCTGAGCTCAGAGACAGAGTCACGAAATTGGAACAGAAGCAAACACAAGGTGATAGCGTATACGTATTAGAAGATTCTATTCTCCACGTCTGATATTTCTTTCAATATACATACATACTCGTCCGAGCATCAATTATCACGCAAAGCTTGATCTGTTTATTCCAAATGCAATACGAGCTAGACATGAAGAAATCTTATCTTGGTATTATTATTCTGATAGTTTTGAAAATAAAGTTATTGAAATTTGCCGTGAGACAGGAGTTACGGATGCATGTTGTGGAGTAAATTATGATGAGTACTTGCTGATAATCGAGCAAAAGTCTATTTTTAGGATATAATGAATATGCCTTACACAGATATGAGTTGTGGGTACAGAATGCTATCAAAAAGGTTAAACGTGCAAGAGAAGATCCGAGCTATAAATATCATATCTCAAAAATGGTTGGAGTATATTAATGAAAAATAATATCCCGATACTTAGATCATATAATAATAAAGAGCGTGTAATTTCGGATGGGCAACCAAATACTTATCAAAGAGGGTTTTGGTCACGGTGGGCGGATCTCTTACCCGATTTACATGCCTGCCCTATTGAAATTTCACATAAGTGCTAGAGGTATACAGATAATCGATAACCATTTTGTGTTATCTAATTTTGATCGAGGTACACTTTCCAGTAATATATTTGAAAAAAATTGGTGTATAGTCAAGGTATAGCCACTATGTAACTGTTTTGGGTAATTACTAATGTTATAAACTTGTACTTTGGACAGACACTAAAATTATACTTTGGATAAACACAAAGAATATGCATAATTCGAAAAAAATCGGGGTATAATTATTAGAGAAATTAAAATGGCGGTTAGATACAAAGTATACTATTTTAACTACATAATAATAATTCGGTGTCTATCCAAGGTAAAATTATTACAGATATATAAAAATATGTTTTGGGTAGACACAAAATAGGTGTACTATTTGATATACTAGTTGAAAAATCGATGTCTGGTCAAAGTAAATATTCTTTAAATGTAAATAAGTACTAGTTGAAAAAATTGGTGTCCACCCAAGGTAAAATTATTACAGATATATTATAAAAAATTATGCTTTGGATAGACACGAAATAAACGACACTACGTGCCTCATTATCGGATGATATTCGAATGAATTATAATAGTTAGCAATTCAGCACTACGTGCCTCATCATTGGGCAATATTCGAATGAATTATGCAAAGCTAACAACTGCTAACAATTGTAACATTATCGATATCGAATTTGAGAGTATACAAGTTTTCTATCATCAATGTGTTATAAAATTTGGGTCATAAAATTTGGATCATGACACCTTAGTCTGTGTCATAAAAATTGGATCATGACTGGGAATCACCTATACTAAGTGGAAATAACATAAATTATGTTATTTCCACTAGAAGTCTATAGGTGACAGCTAATTCAGTGATATTTCAAGTGATTAAGCATGAATCACAGCCGTACCCACTGGAACCATTAATTCAACATTCCAGTCGAGCAAGTTACTAATTGTTCACCCGAGAAATAATAGTCACCTGAGTGACGGAAAATTCTAACAAATAGTAATATCGACATAAGTATGACTCGAAAGAATTTAGTAAAGAAGTCGACCCACGTTGAAGATGAATACGAGTATGAATGCGTCTTGATAAATCATTAATTGCATTTAGGCAAGAATCAAGATCTTAGTGTTTTGTGTCTTGTCAAATCTCGGGGATAAATCTTGTGGACAATACTATGGGTACGTTCAAGGAAAGTTGTGATACCATTCTCTATGTTCCTTTGTTTAATCTTTTAATTCTTTTTATGGTAATCGATGTCAAAACTGAGTTTATTCGGGCATGTTGTGGATGTTGTGGTTTGTCAATTGAAACTTTGTTTCTTGCAATTTCCACACTGATCGACAAGAACATTCCTTTATAGACAGTGTGACTGAAAAGGTAAAGGCGAAAGGAAAAAGAGCTAACGGCACTTAGCCGTAGTGCGTGAAAGCACCAACCATCGAAATGATGATTTAATATTAATATTGATGCCCGCGATTTCCATTTCATATCCGATGTATCCGTTTCCTTGCGATTTACAATGTTCCAACCATTTGCTTTTTATGTTCCAATGCCCAATCAGACACAGTCATAATGACACGACTCTGAATTAGGAAACTAAAATATTTCCATTGACCTCGAATATTAAATTAAAAAAAAATTTCAATTCTTGTAACCCCTTTAATATTAAAAAGAATTCTGGGTCTTTCCCCAATCTACCGATGACTACCACCGCTCACACGCCTACACCACTATCAACTACTTCTCCTCCAACGGCGTCTTCGGCACTTGATCTGTTACGTCCTTCCTCCTCGTCAGACCTCACTCTCGATGAAGAGATACAAATTTTTGAGAAGTATGCTTCAATAGAGAAAAACGGACAAAAGTACATGTCGCGCGACGATTTTGTTGCCGCGATCGCCCATGCGGAAGATAACAAGATCATAATGGAACAATCCGTCGTTCTATTTAGTGTCGCCGACACAAAGCGAAAGGGTCTTCTTTCCCTAGAAGATTTTGTGGCTTTTGCAAACCTTCTTTCTAAACCGGATGCAGGATATGAAATAGCATTCCGCTTTTTTGATCCTAATGGCACTGGCAAAATTACTTTGGATCAATTCCGAAAAATCATCACCACTCGTTGCAGCCAAGATAGCTTACCCTTCGACTTCAATTGTGATTGGCTCAAACTTTACGTTGGTAGTGAAGGAAGTCGTTCGCGCGAACTTACATATGAGGAGTTTTCTCAATTACTTAAAGACTTCCAAGCCGAACGTTTACGCCAAGGATTCAAGCATTATGATTCTAAAGGGATAGGCCATATTACGGCCGATGATTTTGAGAAGATCATAATTTCAATAGACAAATATAAACTTTCTGATTTCCTGATAAATAATCTTCCAACAATACGTAATTTATCAGTCGATAATCACATATCTTACGCATTAGCTGTAGCATTCTATAATGTCATTCGACAGATAGACATGGTTGATCGTGTTGTCTCCACCGCCATCGCTCAGTCTCCCGATCGCAAAATAACAAAACAGGATTTTCTGAACGCTTCTAAATCAACGAAATGTTCTATGTTTACACCATTAGAAGCCGACATTATCTTTCACTTTGCTGGATTGGGTAATACGTCTGATAGACTAGAACAAAAAGATTTTTCTCGATTTCTAAAACCAGAATGGTATCAACCTCAGCAAATTAGGCGAACAGTTACTGTAAAACGAAAGGAAGGCGTGCTTGGACAATTTTTACATCAATTGTACTCTTTTACCCTCGGATCTATGGCTGGGGCAGTAGGTGCTACCGCGGTATATCCGATTGATCTGCTGAAGACAAGAATGCAGAATCAGAGGACCATGGTAGTAGGGGAGTTGATGTATCGTAACAGTTTTGATTGTTTTAAAAAAGTTGTTAAAAATGAGGGCTTTTGGGCATTATATAGCGGACTTGGGCCACAACTGATTGTATGTATGCTCTACTGTCTGTTGGTTAAATTAATATTATATAACTTTCAAGTTATTAATTTTATTATTTTATAGGGTGTAGCACCAGAGAAAGCTATTAAATTGACGGTAAATGACTATGTCAGATCACTTACAAAAGATAAGGAAACCGGCGAAATACCCCTCAAGTACGAAATACTTTCCGGGGCATCGGCAGGTGCTTCCCAAGTTGTAAGTACCAATATAATCGCGCGTTTGTTGCGTAGATGACATTAGGCTATTCGTTTATATACATTCATCATAGTCTTTGACACATGTTAACCATTTCCAAACGATTATTCTTTGATGTCTTTTCCTCATAAATAAGGTCTTTACAAACCCGCTAGAAATCGTAAAAATTAATCTTCAGTTACAAGGTGAAACCGCTCAAAAAGACACAGCCATAAGAATCGTCCGTAAGCTTGGTCTGCTCGGTCTTTTCAAGGGCTCTCGTGCCTGCCTCTTGCGAGATGTACCTTTTTCGGCAATTTATTTTCCCAGTTATGCGCATCTAAAAAAGGACTTTTTTAAAGAGGGTCCTAATCACAAACTCGATATTACCGAACTTCTCCTCGCCGGTGCTATTGCTGGTATGCCGGCAGCATACTTTGCAACACCTGCTGACGTAATCAAGACACGACTCCAAGCCCAACTCTTGCATCCAATACCCGGGCAAGCGCCTTATAAGGGTCTTGTCGATTGCGCTAAGACGATCTACCGGGTCGAAGGATTTACAGCTTTTTTCAAAGGCGGTCCTGCCAGAGTTCTTAGGTCATCACCGCAGTTTGGCGTAACATTAATGGTTTATGAGTTATTGCAGAGGTGGCTTCCGTGGAATGTTTCGGGGGCGTCTGCAGGGAAGAGTATAGAGTCATCGGATTTGGGATATCTACGTAATAGAGACGGATTGAGGATTCTATCGGTATGTAATTAAGGACTATACGCATCTCATTATGTTTCACATATTTACTATTTTCGTGTTGCTTATTGACAATTGACTTTCAGGATTTGGGTTACAAATTCGGAGTCCCTCCGATCTGATTAATATGCGGATCTTATTTCAACCGTCATATTAGCATTACTCATATTTTACTCGACAATGCGTTTAAATAGACTCTGAAGCGACATTTAAGCACACGAAAGAGCGGCATACACATTAATGGGTTTATGATAATACTTTGTCCTCGGAAGATTTCAGTATGTATCGCCAGCAGGCATTAAAACATCTTAATTTTTTTCATCCAGGAAAGTCTGTACGGTCTTATCATCTGTTATACACACATCTCACATCCATGAATATTCTAATTTAAATTCCTTCTTCAAGTTTACTTATTCTTCTTGCAAACTGTATTTATTTTCATTGTAAAGGTCATGTTCAGTGTTAAAGTAGAGCGTATACACTGTTCAATATTGATATAGAATTAACCGACATAATAGAGATTGTCACTTAGAGGCACTAATTAAGAGAAGAAAAAGTAAATAAAAGTCTTTGAAAGCTTCTTGTTTATTGAAATTGAGCGTCCATCAGGTCACATGTTGATGGGTAACATTAAGATTATTCGTCAATTATCGTACTATCCTCCTCCTCTCAAACTTTTTTTGGTACTCAGCTGCTCTTCATCAATGTTACCAATACCCGCTCTCTTCCTCTTCACTCCTATTTCCACGTTCTCCCACGGCTTTCTATCTATGGATCCATCTTGCATACTCTTTTTCGCCAAATTCCTTAATGTAAATGTCTCATAGTTAATTATAGGTATTTGTGAGGGCATATTACCATAATCTGATGACGTTGAAGAGACAACTGTAGAAGATGATGGCGATGAATCCGAACCCGCAGAAGGAAAGTAAACCTGATCTTCAGCCGCTATTAGTTTTTGTAAACTATTCTCTATCAAACGGACCTGCTCCATTTTGAGTTGACGCGGATCTTCACCTGATCGTTTGGCAAAAATCTATTATGCCGAATTAAAATTATTTTCATTCAACTTGCAAAAATCACTAGAATGCCACATTATTACTAAAAACAGTCATTACCGGTGTTCTCTTGTACGAGTGTTTACTTGGAAAGGGAGGAAGATGAGTCGGAACGTAAGCTGGACGGGACAAAGAATCTGATTTCTCTTTCACCTTCAGCTCACCACTCTTCCCAATTCGATCTCTTCGCTTATCCTCAATAGCCATGGTTGCCTCCAGCTCGTCCTCCTCATCAGAGGCTAGCATCTCTGGTATGGGCTTTAACAATGGCGATGCCGGACGAAAAGACGTCCGCAGGGCAGAGCCTAATCGCCTATATTTTTCTATAACTCGCAAGCGATAGAATTATTGCTCGGTCAGCGGACTTGAACAGTAACATGTAAACGGAATGATTCGTGGATAAAGTAGAAGAGATCTATTTATAGCTAAAGAGGTTCTAAGGTCCATGAAGGAAGAAGATCGGAGCGTTTTAGCCCTGCTCGAAACCCTTCACCTGTTTGACACCTTCCGAGAAAAGCCTCCAGCCCACTTGTCCGAACTCCTAATTTCTCAAGGGCCTTTTCGATGTCTTTAAGATTTGGTTGTGTTCGACAAGCCAGCTCGGCAAAGGAATGGGAAGTTATTATTAGGTTATCAAAATCTATGGCATGATAATGGTATATGATAGGACTTGTTAGACGATGATAATATCATTAAATACCGCTGTATATAGTTTGAAGCTTTATTATTGTTTTTGTTTTTATTTTGTTTCTTACGCACATGTTTCTATGGCATCAGCTAAAGCTTCGTGGGCTCGCGGGCTTATGCTAGTAAATCCAGCTTCGCTGGCTAAGAAAGCACCTACTCTCTTGCTTATTTCATTAGCTATTCGCGCATCAATACACACGTTTGAAGTGGATGAAGTTTGAGTGTTTTGTGAACTCATATTAACCAAGACAAGAAACAAAACGAAGAAGATATACTTTTTTGAATTTGATTAATCGATATCTGCATTCGTGTAACATAACCTTCATAACGCCAGTTCATCATGTGACTCTACAAATTGCCACGTGTCCTCATCGAGTGACCGGACATGAATTCGCAGAAGTTCAAGTGCTGAATGTTTTTTCGTCATAAAACAGTGTTATTACAAAGAGAACAGCGCGTTATTTTGTCGAATCTAGCTTGATAACGTGAAATAATGCTCTATAAAATACCGTCGGTCGTCCTCCTCCCGTTATCGGTTTCCATGGGTTCATGTTCATCTCCAGAGTTTTGTGCATCAACGGACAAATCGTTCTCTTCAGAAAACCAAACACCGGTCAACACTGATGTTAACTACAACTATTGATTGATTCCATTATACTCTCGTTTACCATGCAGGTCATCATTAGCAGAATTATCGTTGTTGGGTGTCAATTCTTCCATCTCTTCGGCAGAAATGCTCACATCACTTGCAGACGACGAACTTAATATATGATACATTCTGGGTCTATCGCTGTCACTGTCGCTGTCATCTCTATAGCCGAATGTCGCTGCTACTGCCTGGTTATTTTCGTGTATTGGAGTGGTCGCGAATAGATCTACAGTCTCTGCGGAAGAATTCACAGAATGTACAGGCCAAGGGTCAGACATTATTGTGTCAAAGGCGTTGTAAATGATTAATTATGATGATAATAATTTTTATCAAACATCTATTGGTTGGTTTTTGTGTTACATCGAATGAAATGTTATATTTCAATAAAGAACGAAATGTTGTTAAACTTCTAAACTCGTCTGCAACAATTACAAACATGGGACTGTTGGCAATTCTGAGAAAGCTCCGTCAGAAGGAGAAGGAGATGCGTCTCCTTGTGCTGTATGTTCAAGATTCTGCTGCTTTTGTATACTGTAGGTGGCTACATTAAAGGCTTACTACAATTTACTTTGCAGAACAGCGGTTTAGACAATGCGGGCAAAACAACTATACTTAAACGGTTAAACGGTGAACCGATTGATACAATATCACCTACTTTGGGCTTCAATATAAAGACACTGGAACATAATGGGTATGTACTTTGAAACAACCGGTTCCTTGATTGTTTGTCGGCTTTACTAATAAGCAATACCTGTTTAGATATAAACTGCACATATTTGACGTGGGTGGGCAGAAATCAATTAGAAGCTATTGGCGCAATTATTTTGAGCAGACTGATGGGGTTATATGGGTAGTTGATAGCGCAGATAGAATGAGATTGGATGTTTGTAAAAAAGAGTTGCATTCGCTGTTATTAGAGGAGGTGAGTAATTAGTTCATAGTGAACGCACTAATTCTTTTCATTTTCGTATACTAATGATAGATTTGTTATCAGCGATTGTCGGGTGCGTCTTTACTAGTGTTTGCTAATAAACAGGATCTTTCCGGCGCATTGGCTGGACAAGAAATCAAACAGGTTTGTTCGTATAATCCAGTTCCCGAAGTATGTTTGGATAAAGTGTTAATGTATCAACAATTTTTAGGTTCTCGATTTGGACTCAATATTAACCCATCACTGGGCTATACAAGCGTGCAGTGCATATACAGGTGACAATCTACTTCGTGGCGTGGACTGGATAGTTGGAGATATAGCATCGCGTATTTATTTATTGGATTAATAATAACGTGAAAATCGCAAAGCCGAGATATATACCGATTAAATCTGACCCTTTCCAAGTATATTGAAATTTAAAACTTCATACGTGACCACTACCTTTGTGGATACATACTGTACAATAACATCAACTCGATTAACAACATGGTTGGCATCGGCTGGACCGATCGAGAGCTTTGACAGGCTAAAGTCGACTTTTCGTCCAGAATAAAGTGTGCTTCATTGTGCTGAATCGGGTTATAAACGTATTCTGCCACTTTTATCTTCCGCAGTAGAAGCTACATGAAAATTATGATCTCCGCACGTGGAACTTGAACTTTCATCAAATCGACGACGTCCTTACTATTACTGTAGAAGTGTTGTTATGTTGAACAATTTGTAGAAGGACCAAACGTCAACAACGTGACCCCATTTAATTAAACTCTTATCTTCCTTTGGATCCCATTCTACACTACGTGTAGAGACTTTCAATTGCTTATCTGATTATCAGATCCGCTTGCCGTAACATTATTCTTTTGTGACCGGCAAACGATTCAAGTTCAGTATGCGTCCTAACAACTTCTGTATCATTGCAAAGCGTCTATTTACCAAAGTGATTTACTTGGTTTTGTATCATATGCAAAGGTCATTAACATCCGATATTCAAAAATGTATAACAGAACGAGAGTACTAATGCCGGGAACATGGCAATGGTCTTCGCGCAAAAATCCGCTAGTGATCGACATTAGGGAATAAAAGCCCGAGTCGTGACTTGACACGTGTTAGTATATGCTGCATATCCACGAGACGGTTTCGTTCAGAGATTACTTTTTTCCATATAAATTAAATTTTACTCTAAAAATGCCTGACTTTTTGTTGATGGTCACGTAAGCGATCATTATGCGATAGGAGAAAAAGTATATCGGTAGAAGACGAAACTGAATCTGAGATAGACATAAGTTGTGCATAATTATCAAGTCTGGAAACGTTCGCACCTATCAAATGCGCCAATGCTGGTCAGTAGAGAAATGTTATTGAATAGAGATGATTATTACATACAATCAGGGAAAATTGAATCAGAATTCTTTCGGACAAAATATAAAACCAAGAAATTAGGCAACTCTTGGAACGCTTCCGCAAGATTTTATTTGAGAATTAAAATAACAGGAATTGAGAATTAAATAACAAGAATTGTCGTACTGACACATGAATAGGCAAAGAACTGTAACAATAATAATTAGAGTCAAGATATTAATATATAGAATGTTCATTAAATTTTTTATGACATACGTAGAATGTTTATTTGCCAAATTATTAAAATTGATATGAGCGATTCACGCTCTTAACTATAATCACCAGGGATGACAGTAAGACAACCTTCGGTACTCTTCCCGGTAACACATTGACTAGAATCGGAGCAGCAACGGATACAGAAAATACCATTTTGCGGTTCAACCAGCTCCACGAACTTTTTAGCTCCTGCACAGGTTGCCCCAGGTGGAGCACCTACGCTATCATATTGACCGCCCTCATCAGTCGGGCTCAAGTTATATTTAGATCCGTCTATTCTGCCGGTTACTTGAACATAGCCAGTTCCAACAGCATAGTGGCTTGTTACAATAAATCCGCTGGGGAGGATATTAGCATTGGGTGCATTGGGAGAGGCTTGCGTACAGAATGGCACGGCATCATTTTCATGCTCGGCAATGTTGCCCCCAGCTTGTGGTGGAAGAAATATGCAGAACACGGTTGGGCTGTCTATCGCAGTAATGGTCGGTGGGCTCGTCGGAGCGGTGTGGACGAGAATAACGGCCGCGAGAATTAGACAGAGTGTTGATAGATTAATTAGCTTGAGCATATTAAAGAATTAACTGGCTGTACTGTTGAATGTCCTTCTTTTACCTCCTTCCCTCTCTATATATACATGTGAGCGACGGCCGTTGCACGACTCTTGGCATTATGTAATGTACAAGTAAAGGCGTTCGTTATTAACCATATATGTGTAAGTAACTATTATTGTTCCATAGTAATAAACGGCGGACAGGGAATGGGGAAAGTTGACTGACCCTTAACCAGTATTAAAAGAAATAGAAATAACCGATAAAGTGGGGGTGCATGGATTGGCAATTACTGCGTTTAGCTAATAACAGTAGATCCCTTTTAATCTCCGCAAAATACCTTTTGGGGTTGAGAAGAGTCCAACATACCTATTTTTAGTTATCGAGATTTGCATGGTTTGACAAACCGTATTAGTTTTGATAATAAATAATATTAATAATAATATAATATAAGAATGACACAATCGGACCACGTGAGCATTAAGTTTGATTTTGGCTGCAACTTGTAATGATGGTTTACTAAGATTAAAACGTTTACTTATGAGGAGCTTTTAAAGTATAACCATTACTCTATTATCAAGCATCAGTTGTACAGTTTTGAGGTCACGAGCGACTTGCGTCAATTTTCTAATCGGGTCGATCGCATATTTTGATGTCATTTGACTACTTGTATTACGCAAACAATTTGAAATTACGAACAGCCTCATCATAAATTTATTCTATAAATAGAATTAGATATGGTAAGTATTCACACAAACAGGTTGATATTATAGCGACTAGTGGCGTGCATAACGAGTGTGAGAAAGCCAGCCCGACAAAGAAATTTGCAACTTTGGAAGTAAGAGTGGTCGAATAGAATTGTGGCCACTTTATCTGCAAAAAAAGGGAACGAGTAGTTTTCGAGTTTTTGATTATTCGCAAAATTTTCTTAGTAAGGCTCTGCCTCTTTCATAATTTTCATGTTTCCAAGATAATTAACAATATTCCTGTTTTATCAGCAATATTGTTAATGACACTGGTGGTATTATATGAACATCAGATCAAAGTGTAACATTTATTTGTCGTGGACAGTGAGCGGTTAAACCGGTAAGCTGTGTCCGATCACAGGTGCAGCCAATAAAGATCACAAGGTAGACAATCAATTTAGGATATACCTTATTAGTATTATTACTCTGGGCAGGCAACTACCTTAATTTACTATATGCAAAAATAATTAAAATCATCTGACGTTTATGCATCGATTTTATTAATGTGTTCCCAAAAATATTCAAACCGATTAATAAAACATAAAAGATTGATTGTTTGCTTTTTTCGAAAAAAAAAAATAATATGATATGCTTAGTCTTGTTATCGTTTCAAAGCTGCAGCGGCAATGTTTACGTTAAACATATGAAAATGCAGGCACATGTGTAAATAGATATTGCCGCTTCATCACACTACTTTCGCGACAACCAATTTAAATTTTACAAGAAATAGTTTCACATGATACGAATTTATTGTGGCTTATATATAGAAATTGAAAGTCTTTTATATGTTTTACTCATCAGTTAATAAAATTACCGATGCTTTTGGCAGGTAAGTGTACTCACTTGGTCATATGTTAGAATTAATTTTTTTATTATTTTATTCGGATATTAATTTATGTTGCTAGTTGCGCTCATCTTGGCTTTTTAATTTTCCGGGCTTTGACTAATCCACATAAAGTGACTAGTATAGTGTTTGTACTATCATCATGTGGTAAAGCTATCGAAATCTCTTTTATTGTTGTTATTAATAGAACCAATGTTTTTCAAGTTAGTTGAACAGTCTTCTACGCTAACGTTTGACATTTCGAGCAACAATGGCTTGTTTTTATTGACAAATTGTAATTATTGCAAAATTGTGGCCAAAATTCGTATCTACAAGTTAATTAAAAAAAAGAGTCAGAGTCGCTAAATTATAAACAATAATTCTACACAGCGACAGCGAATGAATTGGCACATGTTATGCCCCAAAATATTGGTGACGGACAGGATGTCCAGTCATTTAAATAAAATTATCCTCAGTGTAAAATAATGCAAGTGGTATTAATTATGCATCACGTTTTAAACTAGTGATTGTTGTGACTCAAGAATACCAAATGGTTTTCATACTTGCAGAAATTAAACATTTTATTATGTATCTGATTGTTGCTGGCAAATTACCTTTTACGGATAGAAAATTTGCCTGGTTCAACACAAGAAGAGTCTAAAAACTAAGTGAGATTTGGTGACGCTGATTCTGCCAAGCACCCAGATACGGAGAATATACTACAAGTTTACTCGAAAGATAAAAAAGGATTATTCAGCCGGCATTTTGAATGACATTTATTACATCTCGAGAGTGAGAGTAAATACTAGAGAATATCCTATCCAGTCTTGGTTGTAAACACCCTTGTCAGTCAGCTGTATTTCGGTTTCTAACATCACTTGCTGGTCGCGTCAGTTTAAATTGGTTAGACGGATCTCTTTTCCATGGCGTCTATACGTCAAAGCTGCCCACCAAGAACATAAGGTTTAATCCAAAAGATAGCGACTTGAGACAAAACGCAGTTAGAAGACATTCAATATTTAGTAGAACTTTAGAATATAAACAATTAAAATTTGAAACACTTCGTAGACAATTACTCTGCTATAATTATGAATTAAGATACTATAATTTATAAATATAAAGATAACATGGAAGTGGCAACATCTCAACCAGATACAAAATAAAGCGGTTACTCCAATTCAGTGTTCATTATATGGGCAGACTGCAACAAAACCAGACAAAGTGATCATTTTATTACGTAATATAAATGAGAGGCTGGTTACGATGTGACTAAAAAGTTGACCAGTGTGACTGATGACATTTTGAAAAGTAATAATGGTGCTCATTCAAAACTTATAAACCTGTTAATTTTAAAGTTTACTTTATCATACCAGAATGTGATGAATATAATCATAACAATATTAATATAGGATTATCTCTATATGAAAAATATTAATATAAAATTAGTTTGCATTAATCCACGTTGGAACCAAAGAATATTATTCTTAGTTTAGCTTTAGCATCTGCTCCCAGGTCATGTTGCTAAGACTTCAAAGCACTGCGCGACGTGATCTAATAACGTTGATCAGTGGCTTTTTCATTATATGCAGAATGTGACCAATGATAATTAATGCGCAAAAATTTCCGCATGTTCGAATATCATAACTCAAAGAGATTTGCTATAAAAATTGAGCTATTTTACGAAAAAGCTTCGCAAACTGCTTTTACAAAAAACTATCCAACAGATTATTATTTAAAATGTTTGTTCTCACAAGTGAATTATTCTCGGATTATTGATCGAAATTATCCTTGTTGTGTCTGAGTTCAGGACCTGTCTCAGTTCAAAACCCAGTCACTCAGTCCAGAACTCAGTTGTCTCAGTCCAGAACTGAGACAGGTCCCCAACTGAGATACAACATCTCCTTTATTATAAAACCCACAAAGATTATCTGCGCATTATAATTGATGTAGTAATCAATTTAATAGAGCCGAAGAAAAAATCTAAGACTAGCAAACAAATTGGCCAACGTGACTATCCACCAGAAATCGAAAACTTGTGGAATGATGTAATCCTATTATACGAAAAAAGAATTAAATCAGATTCAAAATTTTCATTTAACAAAATGGTGCTTGAAATCCAAAGTTACTCAGTGATAGTGAAGGAAAAGGCATTGCTGTTTCTACAATAAGAAACTTTTACCTACAAAGAACTCATCTATTATGGCAATTTGATGTTGGATTGAGGAGGAAAAGAAGAAACAACGAAGATGACGAGGAAGTAATTTTATTATTAATAATACATGGTAAAAATAATAACAATATTTAAATTTTGCACCAGAGTGACCAAAGAATAGGTTATTCTCATAAATGGCTTTGGGTCCGAGTCTTTCCTCTCATGCAATCACTCTGGGTGCTTTGAATAATATTTATTTTCAAGAGCGCACTTTCAATAACCGGAAAGTTATGCATACGAAAATTGAATTATTTTTACATGTTTGATTGCAATTGTATCAAAGTAGCGAAATATGATCAGTATTTTTTATCGATCTTCCGTTGACAGGTTACTCGACGTTGGTGGAAAGCTTTACATTTTCCTTACGTTTCTTCGGTTTTCGTTTCTTTCCTAGTTTATCATAAGTTGTTGTTAAAGTTCGTTTATGGTTTATTATTTTTGTTTTTGGTAAATTTTATAAGTAATTTTTTCTTAATCTAGATATTCCTGGAAAGTTTGGGGCAATTTTTTCTCCTTGGGCTTTCTTTAGAATACTTCTAACTGTACTGTAATTTTTTGGTTCTATAGTAGATTTATTGCAAATTAAAATTATATTAATATATTTTTTATATAGAGATGATCCTATATTAATTCTGTTATGCTTTATATTTCATCACATTCTGGTAAACTTTAACATTAATAAATCTATAAGTTATGAATGAGCACTATTATTACTTTTCAATCACACTGGTCAAATTTACAGTCAGATCATAATCAGCCTCTCATTCATATTGTACACTTGTATTAGAATTACCTGGTTGGTTGATAAAATTGTTTATTTAATAAAATTAATTTTTGCCAATGCTTTATTTTAAATAAGCTATTTTAAATGCAGAATTTACTATTGTGTTATTATGGCATTATTATTATATTAATAATTGGTTATTATGAATATGATTAAAAATATTTATATAAACAGTTTTTTTTAAGTTTACTCTATCTTTCCGTCATCATCTCTCAGTAATATTCCATATGGTTAAGAGTTACATGGTGGCAGAGATGGAGGCGGATCCGTTATAGCCACTTCATACGACGGCGGTGGTGTTGTCGATAATGATATTGTGCTGCCGTGCTGAGAATAATTGGAATTATGTATGTGTATTGAAGTTTCTGATATAGAAAGACTGGTTGAAATTATATCCACTTGGATGAACTGGAATTGTTGTAAATATGAATTAGTCGCATTATAATAGCAATTATTGTTTAAAACTAAAAAAAAAAATTATTTTTTCAAAAATTCATTTATCTCTGAACATTACCTTTTCCGCAATTACTTCATCATGGTTTTCCTTGACAATTAAATTCCATTTTATTCCATTAACCATATCTAGAGCATTCCATTCTGCTACATTCCATTCAATTACACGCAATTGCTTTGCACCTTTGTTTTTTGTAAGCCCCACCAAAAACGCTGTTGCTAGCGTTAGAGAACCCAATATAATGCATAAACATACTCGTAATGGTTGAGTTATCCGACTACTAAAGCCGTTTTCATTTGCGTGGGTTGATGTGTGGGAGTTGTCGCCCGTATTAATCCGCTTTAATATCATAGCTAGTAATACAAAAGCGGTTAAGGCGGCGACGATGATGGAACCAATGAACAAATTACGAAATAAGCGACGAAACTTTTGACGTCGATGAAGGATAGTGTTGAGTACTTGGACACGAGAAAAAAAATCGACGGGTGTAATATAACCTCTTAATGCCATTGGATAGGTTTCTTTAAGCTTGTTATTATCGAAAGAGATGCGTACCGTGCGCATGTTGGCGATTATAATTGGTTTGTTGTAAGGGTTATATCGTCTCTGACTATCCCCGTTGTCGTAACGACAACAATCTTACAATTATAACCTTAAACTTTTGGTAATAAATAAAATAGCAAAACAGTCCCAATTCCAGTGCCGTCTTTTCTTTTCTTGTTCTCAATGTGCAATGTCGACAACTACGTAGCCGAGTGATTGTCGATAGGCTTTAATCTTGATAAAGAAGATGTAGGGGCAACATTTGTCACATACACAAAGAGATTACGTCGTTACGATGACGCATTTTATAACGAAAAGAAATACAGTTCCGCGTGTTTCTATTCAAACATCCATATTTATATACATTAAACGTATTCGCATGCAATATGTGGGTCCATGCTATTGGATAGTGCATGTATGCAGTGGACGATCCCATATGACCAACAACAATTTGCATATGTTGATCGACGCCAAACTATCGGAAGATGTTTGCGTTAATATTAAGCTTCAAATGAGGTTAACCCTAGCGGGGTTTCTTACGTATTCAACTTGAATAAATCTTGGTGCGTGAAGATCGGCCTTATGCGACAATAACAAGAAAGTTTGGACATTTGCGCTTGAATTAATGAAAATGACAGTCAAAAAACATTTGTTGTGCACATACATGCATGTATGGTGTATGCGTATACTCAATATTCCATTACCTGTCACTGTATGTAGCGCATAGTGATCATTATAACACACACCGGGTAAACATGCTTGCTCGACGTCGTATGTAACCTGTCAAAAGCAGTCAAAATTTACTAGTAACATCTGTATTTACCATGTCAATGCAATAAGTTTTGAAATTAAGTGGTACACACTGTACATAGAATTTTAAATAATTATGCACTTTGAAATTTCTATATTAATATGACGATATTGTGAAAGCGTGTTAAGTATTTGTTGCCGCCAGACCAAGCATTTGGTATCTATTCAACCTGCCACAGCCCAAATCGAAAACTGTATCCTTTTGAATTGCGTAATATTAGAAACTATTTCTTCTCAGAATAGTGTTACTCGGAAGATATGTGCTCTCATTTTCCTCTAATTCAAAATTTTTTTATCGATTATAATTACATATCGATAAAATTTTCCTCGCAATTACCATGACCTTGTTCTTGACACATTGTAATTAAAATATTAAGCTTAGATCTGTTATTATTATGTAATCTTGACATGCGAGTTCGGAATGGTCTATTTTGTAATAATAATTACTGCCGTACCGAAATTGGATGTGTAAAAAATATATATATGTGACATGCTAGTTTGTTAATAAAGTCATTGTCGATTCATATGTAAAATGATGGATAGCAATCTTCCACTGCTCCCAATTGAAAAAATTAGTATACAAGTTAGTTTAACTACGTATACGTCATCTGTAAGCCACATAGCTATCTGTTTAAAACATATTCTCCACTAAAAATTATCAATAAAGCTTTCGATATAATTTAACTGACGCCGAATATATCGCAATAAAAATTTATAATCTAATCGCCCGGATTTTTCGTAATTCTGGATAACCAATCATACCATGTGCTGCTTACTCGGAATTCGCTACTTTCCAAAATCAAGAAAAGTTGAATAGACCAAATTGTAGAAAGCAAAATACAGGTGCTACTCTAAAAAGTCTAGTTATTGTCAGAGATAGGAATTTTAAGCTCGCCAAAAGTGTTATACAAAAGTTTTAAAATAAGTATTAGCAATGCCATATACTTCACGTACAGTAAACTCTCTCAGAAAATGTTTCGACTAAACTTTTTTTACATACATTATTGTAGTTATTTATATACATGTGTTATGCATTAACAATGTAATAAATTGTAGTTGGAGCACAAGTAAGTTATTTTCTTGCAATGTAATATATTTTGGTAAAGTACTGGGCCACCGATAAAGTAGAAAACGCTATGTATCGCGTTAGAAATTACTTAAAAATAGCAATGACGAAATTGGACACTCGGAAAATTTCGTCTTTAACAAAAGTTAGAAGCATTTATGTATCCAGTACTCTCTGTAAATTTAAAAGCATTTACAAAAAAAACTATTTAGAAGCGTGCAAAATCGAATTAAAAACATGTGTTAAAAGCCAAGACATAAACTTTGCGACTATTAATAAATACTGCCATTTTGCACAGATAGTATGATACAAGTCGCTAATACTTATCCCTTTGCGTGGTTTTCCTAAAATTGTTTTTATACACGTAAATGCATTTCGCAGATGCTCTATAATCAGTGTTAGAAGTTTGATATAATTGAATAGCAACAAACTATTTAATTATTGGCATAATTTTATTTTCTTCTCTAAACAAAGCTTACAATAATGGGTTTGAGATTACTTTCTAAACATCATCCATAATTTTGCGATTTCTATGTGAATCGACGAGTTTCTGTACTTGCTGCGCGCAGTTCTTCTCCAATATTTAATGGCTGTGCTTGTTTTCCAAATGTCCGCGTGCGTTGCGTTTATGCCACTGTTTATTGACTAGCTGTTTTAGTGTTGTCTTTCGAACAGTATATGGGGGCGTAATCGACATAATATTCCATTACGTTAAGAGCTTTCCTTATAAATATTGATTTATCTAAAAATAAGCTCAAATTTTGTCTAAATAATAACTTTATTTCTTCCCTAAAAAATGTACGTTACTATTATCTCTTGCTAGATAAACACTTGTATATAACCCACCTTCTGATATTCTGTATTATTTAATTCCAACGTTGATAAGGGATAGGGGAACTCATTGTATCCAAAATTACATATGAGGAGAGTATAGATGAATGAACAAAAGAAACACATGGCCACATTAAGACGGTGTACATATAAACAGTAGCTGTAATGTTATCACAATGGAATCTGTACTTGCGTTACTGATCACATATTGATAATCAGTAATAAATATAAAAAAAAACTCTATGTTATTGTTTTCTTTATCAGTTGTAGTTTCCTCTTATTTCGAATGCCGCCAATACATTCCCATCTTAAATAAGGGTCTAGTGTCACGTCACATGTTTTGAATGCAATCAAGTCGAAAAAACAGGTTTAGTTCCATTAGTTTTGAAATTTTCGTGCCGTTAGTAGAAGTAGAGCGAGACAGAGAAAAGTGTTGTGGTAGTGCGTATGTTGTATAGTTTAATATGGGGAGGGGGGATCCAATGCAATAGCACGTGTAAGACTATGGCTGGGCATATTTGTAGTAGGTAAAGCAACATAACGTATTGTTGATGATATATTATATGCATCAATATGCGTGAAATGTAGATAAAGTTTTACTCATAGAGCGGGTATATATTTGTTTACTTAATATTTTGAATGTATACTAATTGTATTCGTAATCATTGCAAATTCATTACACAAATACAGTACCGTATCCGTAGACGTTGTTTGGTTGGGAAAAACTGTACGATCATTTCGTGTTATTCCTTGTGATCAACAACTGTATGTGGGGGGGGGGGGGACTAATTACTGTGATTATTGCGTTGATTATCATTCCTTATTATTTCCCACACATTTGTTCAAAAAGTAGTCTAAATTAGTGTATATAAATAATGATAAGCATGTAGAATACTACATTTAAAAAATACCCAAACCATTTTCTGTCATCCATCGTAAGCATTGATCCCCAAATGCAATATCTGGTGGCTGGGGGTTGAGTGCATTTAGATCATCCATGATTGGTGCGTGCACCGCTCTTACTTGCCCAGTGACGGGTTTCTTGTCAGGAAAGAGAGACCATACAAGTTGTTTGTGGGTTTGATTATGTAATCTGGCATTCGAGTATGCGGAAACTATGTTGTCATAGGCTCAATATTTATCCGCAGCATTCACACACATTCAAGCCCCTGTTCAGATCAACAATCGATGTAACATTCTAGATGCAATAAGTACACACACACACTGCCGGTTTGATACTTTTCTGGTCGTATTAAAATACCAGTTATTGTTCTGATTTCAATATTTGAGGAGATATAAGGAGGGCATCTGACAAGTGATGCTAAAATAGTATGGTTCATACGCGTAGAAGAACAATCAACATCACACAAATATGTGTGTCTATAGGGTTTCCCACTCATTTTGCATACACTCATTTCGTCCCTCCTCCCCGCACTCCCTTTCTCCTTCATTCTATTCGAGGGATGCCATATCGTGCGAATATTTCTGGCCTGTTTGTATCACAAGTATTCGAAGAGTTGAACAGATGTTTGTTTACTGCATCGTCCAATATAGAGAACCACTCCATATTGCAGCCACTGAACACCAACCAATTAGTATCATACGGCGATTCTGTATCACCTTTATAACAGTAAGGGGGGGGGGTTTATACGTTATAATGGACTAGTTGAAGCTAGGAAAGGACGATGTCCGAACAGCTAATAATAGATAGCAGCGGACAGATTGTGACAAAGGTATAGTTTGTCGCAGTAAGAATGAGCATAAACGTAGACGAAAAGGGTGATTATTTTAAAGTGTTTGTTGAGTTTGATCCATTGTGGCTGTTTGTCTGTGCTGATTGCCGATTAAAATTGTTTGTGAGCGTTTGCTGATGACGTCAAACTGCATTGCTTATCTTACTACAGACGATAAAACAGTGACACTTACAAAGAATAACAATAGTGGAACAAGGCTGGTGATGATGGTGATGACACTGAGGACGGGGGGTGATGACAGTGAGAGTGTGATAAAATAAAAGCAACCAAACATGTCAATTCTAAATGTGGTTGAATCAAATTTGTCCATTCTTATTATTGTTACTGCCATTGATATTGGTCTGTCCATTTCTGCTACATGGGACCTTGTTGCAATTTTTGACAAAAAGGTAACGACACACATATGAGTATATACAATGAACGAAAAGCATGTGTTTGGTGCTTATAGCGGAAAGAGAGACGATAAACATAGGGAACAAAGTAATACGCACGAAAATACGATATGCAGGAGATAATGCAATAGATGACATTTTCCGAATTATCTGTCTAGGTACAATGGATATAAGAATCATTGTGTAAGGAATTGGGATAGCGGCTTATGTACATACTAATGGACCATATAAAGAAACATAAGCTTATTTATCGCCCAAAAGAAAACAGGTATTGCGTTTGCAATTTTTATTCGATGATCGAAATGTAAAGGTTGATAAGGGACCAGTCTTTTCCCCAGACGTCATTGTCTGTACCTTGGTTGGTGGATTACGCCATGAGATAGGGAGTAAGATGGACAAGAAACAAGAATGGTTATGTTTGAAAAAAAAGCTGGTCAATTGATTGATGTTATGTATTCACATGATAATGAGAAATGTTTGATATACTTTTATAGTAGTAATATATTACATCATACTCAATTAATTAAAATCAACAAACATTAAAATTACTGATTAATCAATCATCAATCATTGTCACTTTCATGTCATACTAAATGCTTGTATTTTTTCCATTAATACATGCAACCAACTTTTTACATTACTCTCACGTACATACACAACTACATATATATTATAAATATACTAACATACATTGATATTTTCATATTATATAATACAACAACTCGACATGTCATTGTTCTATTGTACGCATATCGTATTTAGCTACTTTTATATGGAATCACTATAATATTGTCCTGGGTATTGTTGATTTATTCATTCAATTATTTATTTCCATCAACTGTATCACCCAATGTCTAATATTGTAAAAAACCCTGAGTGTTGTATATTTTATTAATAGCTAAAAAATCACATATCAACACACCCTCACCGCCGACACACTCTCACCAAACATTTCCCCCACTCTTCCTCAGCTGCCTACGATTTTACTCGTCATATATACTCACCTCCCCCCCCCACTTAAACTCACTCTTATATATATACATACACATACCACACGCATACCACACATACCACACATACCACACATACCCACATACTAATACCACATACTAATATCACATACACCCACATACATAACATTTATACAAAAAAAAAAACCCACACACACACTAGCCGACAACGACGGCAGCCAAACAACAAAACAAAAAGCAAATAAACCACCTTGCATACGAAACTTACATTCAAAATATCGTATAGACCTACTTCCACTATTCCCATTTCACTCCACATGTCTCAGGAAAACAACAACGACGTTCAGGCATTCGAAGACACTAGTCACTATACGCGGAACGTAAGTACGCGACTGCGTTTGATCCCTAAACCACTATTTGATACTATTTACCGTGCACTTCTATGTAGCAATGTTTGTCATTTCTTGTGATATGGTGCTATATTATTAATGCTGTAACCCCCGTTGTTCGTTCGACAGCACTATCAGTCTACATCGTTAAATCAGCTCACGAATAGTATAAGTTCAGCAGTCTCCCAGCTTGAAGCCGAAAACAGAGTGAGTAAAAAGATTGTGAAAAATGGTCGATTCGTAGATGATGATGGTTACAGCTCGAATATAGTCGTTGGATCGATTTTTTTCCACTGACACTACAACTCAACTATTGATTCTTTAGGATTTGAAAATCCAGGTCAGAAAGCTCCGAGAGGAAAATCTAAATCTGAGATCTGTAAGTGGGATATATTGGTCTTTTTGACATCAAAATCGAGAAAGTCAATCACTATACGCAATTACCACTACAAGTGATAACAAAAAAGAAGATTGCTAGAAGTACATTCAAGTACTGTCAGACGATCGCCAAAAAGACTAGCAGGAAAACTATTGGCAACATGGACTGGCACTCTGTGCAACGCTTTTCGTCTGCATTATGAGAAAACAACTAGCAGAACTTACTCACTTTCCACAATTTCTCATTACAGGAAGCTCCTATTGATAAACAAGCGCTCCATGAACGACTACAAACCATAAAGACAATGTGCGAACTGTGCGAATCAATCCTGGGTATAAAGGTGAGCTTGCTCTGGTCAAAACAGATAATCATCGATTAAGTCGCTTGATCCAATGTCATTATCGATTTACCCAAAGGCAATAGTCCTTGTATATCAGTATACTCGAAATGACATTAGATAGTGACAAAGTTTAATAATATACTTACATTGAACTAACATTACATTCATTTGATTATCCTGTCAATTATGTACATTCATCAATGAAGCCATCGATCGGTTATCATCCGCAAGGTCAAGCCCAGAACCATTTACAGATGCGCCCTCAAAATGGAGAAGGTAAGTTAATTAAGCAGAAGTGTAAACGGAGACCAGTAAAAATAAACTGTATTTATTGTCGTCTATAAGGTTACATAATATTAATTTATTTGTTCTTTCATTAACCCGCGTCTCTATGATTTGCTCCCATTAACTGAATTTATTTAGGCTTGATGCCTACGTTTCCCTTTGGAGCACACTCGATGTTGACCACTAAACCGCCAACACCAGAGCGCATGGTGGAAGAAACCAATAGACCCTCTTCTCCATCGCATAGTCATGATAATAGTACTAGTGTCAATCTTGTCGATAATTTTTCGGTTAGTATGAAAGACAGCCGAGAGAGGGAGTTCCATAACGTGAAACGATTATATTGACTTACAATTAACTTTTTCGTAGCCTGCCTTTTTGGACATAGGCGATACTGACGAACAAACAAACAATTATAATAATGACAACAAACCAAACTTGCAAATGCCTTCCCTTAATGGAATTAATAATAATAACCGACGCAACAACTTTAATAATTATAATAATGGTAGCAGCAGCAGCAACAATAGTATTAATAACAATTCGTACAAGAAGAAGGTAAGATAATTCATCTACTTATATTAAAATTGTCGAATTGTTGCTTATATTATATTCATTTATCAGTCAGCATTTACCGTGTGGGTTGCATGGCGAGGTCGCCCATCAAGCGATGCACAACTGCGACAGATATTCAGTGGGCTAGATGTAAGAAATATTTCAATAACATTGTGAAACTGGCATTTTTTGAATCAGCGAGGGATATTCATTCAATAAATATTTTCATTATAACAGATAAAGGATGTCCGGCCATCTCCAAATAAATCCTTTGCCCACATCGATTTTAGTACAGCGGAGTCAATGAACAAAGCGCTAGAAAGGAATAACGAGGTATTAATTTCAGTATTGGTTGAATAATCTTTGTGTTTTTCTAAACTGCAGACATTAGTTCCCCTTCATCAGGCATCTAAATCTTTTCTTTTCCGTTCTTATTCTACTACTCCACTCGGAAACACAGGATATTCCAAATTTTGGTCATTTGCGTGTAGAGAAAGGCAATCCCCACCCCCGTCCAACAATGGGTAAAAACCACTCCCTTCCCTCCTCTTCTTCCACCCCGCAATCTTCATCCTCTCTCCAATCTCCCAACTCTCCCCAATCTCACTCGTCCCCCAAACAACCTTTGTTCTCCTCTATTCCGCCCCTATCCCAAACTCCCACGTCCTTCCCAGACAACAGACCGAGACAACAAAATCAGCAAAATCGGAAAAATGAATACAATAGAGGCGCATACTCGACTGCGTTTACGAGTCGGCAGAATAGTAGTAATATTAACTTTGACGATGGTATGGACGAAAACCAAAAGGCATCTTCTATTAAAAGTTGGCAAGATATGGCCGCACAATCACAAGGAACAACGAGTATTCCCAATCATCAAGAGCATAAAGGGAATAATGGCGATATGTAGAATATTCACAATCGGTGGGAGCTGGTCATCAAAGTGGAGCGATGGGGTTTGTTCTGACATAGCTCTGTGTCGTTTTTGTTCTTGATGAATTTATTTTTATTTTATTTGGTTGGTGACTTTTGAAAACTGTATTCATATTCATAGAATTGACTTTAGTTTGTCTAATTGGTAAAAATTATTTTTATTTATAGCAATGTTTATGATGGGTGATATTGTAGTTTACAAATGTGAGAATATAGACCATTTTCTCCTTATTATTTCTATTTATTTTATTCCTATACATTCATATTTGTGTCTGTTATAAAATATACAGGTTGTATTGTGCATATATACACACAAAGTGCAAAGAGTAATTGTAACGATATCAGAAATATAAGAACAATGGTTTTTTTAAAGACTTAATGGAGTGAAATTATTATTATTACTGTATGTGATACCAAACACGAGTATTTTGTTTAAGGTTCATCCTATTTTGTTAGCGATTCACCATATATCACCATTATCGACCTTTATTAGGGGATTCACCAAGTACAAGCCTCACAATATTGTATTTGAGCATCAGATCTTATCAAAAAGTATCCTGCTTTCATATGAATAATCCATCTATCCTGCTTATCAAAACTTGCGCCTACAATGTCAGAGTAAGGTTCCGTAAATGGTTATGTTTCTTTGTCCGTGCACGCAATCTTAACCATCTTGTGCTTCCAAGGATTAAGTAATGCATGTATGTGAATCTGTAAATAACCCCAACAAAAAATACTGGCAAAGTCGATGAGGTAATTATCGTGAGGAACTTTCATAACAATGTCCTCGCAAAAAGTCCAAGACATGTAGAAGAAAAGAACAAAACCAATGAGAAGGAAAAAAAGAGGTGTGGTTCTATCCTGAATTGTAATTTGTCTGAATGATACTAGTACTAGAAGAGAAATGAAAATATTTAACGCCGAACAATATCGTCATCTAAAATACTCGAACAGGAACAGAAACTTAATCCAGGGATACTGATGTCATGCGGGTACTTCAGTAAGGTGCCCAAATAAGGCAACGATAGCCAAGATAAAGAGAAGTGGCGTCGTGATAGGATTGTTTTCATCAGATGATAGGATGCATCAGTAAAACCACTACGAAGACGCTCGTCCCGCTGTTTTAACAAAAACAGTCAAATCAAAGCCACGTCTCATATGACCAAAGTAATTGTGTTACCATATCGTGGACGTTCCTCAACTGATTAGCTTTGATCGGTCAAATTGATTGCTCTGAGACATGTGTCAATCATAAACAGTAAAAGCGACAACCTAATCGGGTTTTTGATATGCGTTGTTACACTTTCCGTCCATGTAAACGGAATTGTACAATAAGTGAAACAATTTTATCTATTGGGCAGAAGCGGCGATAGTACATAGTAATAGGCGAAAGCGACACTTCGATTTGGATGTACATGTTTATATTCTTCAAAGATTCAATTAACAGTAAACAAACAGTTCTTTATACGATAATAGTCGTAAAAGACGAGCCTATATTATTGTTGATTCGATACCCATTGTAAAGTTTTATACTTATAATTCATATTAATATAGAAGTAATTCTACATATTAATATATCATTTGAGTCATCAAGTCAGTAGATTTTGATTCTTCACACATTGCATTCAAGCCCACTGTTCAAATATCTTGCGGTGAATGTAAAGATCCTGTAAACAACAAACTAATGTTCAAATACTGTTTACAATCTTTCTAAGAACTTGGATTTACAAGTTTTTTGGGTGAAAAAAAAAATAAAATTTTTTTCACAGAGTTGAAAAGGTGCTTTTCCAATTAGCTCATGAAACATTCTTGTGTTCTTGCAAGAGTGTGCCTTATGTAGGCAGAGACTTAGCAGCAGGGGGCGCGAGCAGACTTTTTTTTATTTTTTAGTGTTTTTTTCGCATTATTTTTACACCTCAGTCCGCGAGTTATTTTACTTAAAATTACTAAAATCGATAATATTTTTTATATATATCAGAAATCGATACCCAGGAACACACTCTAGAAAAGGTGTTTTTTCCTTTTTTATACACCTTCAGTCTGCGGATTTTTAGCGCTAGAAACGTTAAATTCGATAGCAAAAATCAGGTGTAAAAATGGTGTAAAAATGGAACTATGACGAGCATTTTGTTTTTTA